CCCGAGCCCGGTTATGATAGCTAGGTACTAGGGGTGGGCAATCAGCTAGCCTGCTAACTGCAACAGGCGATGTCAGCCCTTGTTCTGCGCTGCAGCCACGGCGAGCTTGGCGTTGCGGAACATGTACAAGTTCTCCACGGACGCAGAACGTCTGTGGGACCAGAGACCTGCCCGTAGGTTAGCCGGGGCTAGCTAGTGAGCAGCGACTGAACTGTTCAATTTAAATTCTACATGTAGGACCTCATAAATGAATAAAAAGTGCTTTACAAACGAATACGTCACATGAACTAAGAAAAAAGTGCAACTGGTTCTGACAGAATTTGTAAACAGGAAACAGCGGCGAGCAGACAAACATCTGGAAGAAGCGGCGGAAAGATACGAATCACAACTTCCGGTCAGGACATTCACAATAAAATCAGAGCAGGAAACAAAATGCAGATCGTGTTAAAGATGGTGGGTTTTACTTTTAGCCAGATAGCCCATCCCTAGCTTCTCATCTGATAAGTTGATTTGTTAGTGGATTCAGATTTGATAAAATGGCATGGAACTCTAAATGTACGAATCCAACGAAAGGTTTCTCTGATGAAAACACACTTCCCTACTTCAAAAAGACTTTCTTTGGCCATAAAATACAACACAGTCACAGTCACAGTCACAGTCACAGTCAGTCTGGCTTCACTTAAAACTAACGTGATACCTCAACCAGATGAAATGCACAGGAATGCACTTAGAGAAAGGCTGACAGGACCGTAAAGCAGAACCCGTCTCTAACAGAACGGAAACTTAATTTCAGTGACGTGTGAGTGGTTTTAAATCCCACAGTGTCTGGTGTCGGCTGCGAGGCCACTTCAGAAGAAAAGAAAAAGGTGTAAATTTAAGCAAGAAGTGGACTTGAAAAATAAATTTGAGTTGTATTTTCCTGACAACACAGGCGTGCTGTTTGCATGTGTACAAACCTGAGCGGGTGTATTTCTGCAGTGCAGCGGCAACTTTTCTGCTTCAGTACTGCAGAGAGCACAATGCAGCACAAACACAAACTGTAATGTATTTCACTTATATCTCCACACGTTCTCTTAAGAGATGAAGTCAGTCTGTACGAAGCATGGCTGCTGTGAGTGCATGTGCTTCGACAAGAACAGATAAATCAGAGAAAAGAAAAAAACTGAGTGACGGGAGGTTTTTGAAAACATGTCTGCAGAAGCAGAGGGGAAGTGTTTGACTCGACAACAACAAAGGCAGATTTCTGATGTGCAGCAGACCAGGAAGAGCAGCCAGCCAGCCGGCCGGCCGGCCAGCTGACAGCGATGCTCCCTCTCAAGACCTCCAGAGGAATGTGGTGCCGAAAAAGTTCAAAAGATTTTCTGCCGGCCGCAGTTAAAGAGCACAGAGAGGAAAACACGAGCGTAACGTCTAACCTTTAAACCAGGAGGCCAAGGAGCTGCCGTGTCACGAGTCAGCGGTATGCAGAATAGCGTTGCATTGTGACTAGACAAATCCAATCGTTGACTTTGATCCCGTTGCGTTCAATTTAAAAAAAAAAAAAAAAAAAAGATGACAATAACGCCATTCATGTGACGTAGAGAAGAATGAGTAAAATGACTCTGAGTGGTAAACAAACATCAGGTAGAAACATCAATCCCTTCATTCAGTACAGTAAAGCAGGTTTAACAGATGACTGAATGTTCGGGGGGAATAAAGCTGGGACGGGTCAGGCGGGAATTTGTAGTCGTACACAAGAGCCTGTTTCTCGGTTCTTACAGAGGATCATGTTATTTTTCTGCAGGGGGATCAAAGGCGGGAGATGTAAATAGGTCAAAGAGATGCTGAAAACCCCCTTCTTCTTTTTTTACCCCCTCCCCCCGCAATACGAGGAGTTATCAAAACAGTGATGCGAGCGAGCGCGGCATCGTTATTCTACCAACCTGTCCGGAGGAGGCCAACAGGTTGATGGTGGTCAGTAGCATCCAACCGCGACTCGCCTCCTCACTCTGGTTCACCTCCAGGAACTGGACGATGGCTCGACTGGCTGCCTCTGGAGAAGCAAACACACACACACACACACACACACACACACATTAAGTGGATGGAAAGTGACAGCTCACTGTGGCAGGCAGATGGGCTGCTGGAACAGTGATCAGTTATGCAATGAATAATCATCTTGGTGAATGCGATGTGGGAAAAGTGAGGGCTTGAGGCTTCTTGGTTTTGTCTCGTCTCCAACCCCACCAAAAAAAAACAACAACAAATCTTGTCTGCTGTTCTAATCCTGTCTCAATTTAATACAGATAATTAAGGCAATCAAGAAAATCAATTTACAGACTTACAGCGTTAGCCAACTAGCCGACTTAGCTAGCTTCTTGGTGCAGCGACCAACTATTCTGCTCTCAGGTTATTAAGTTGACTTTTCTTATGTTTCTGTTCTTTTCATCCAACGACCAGACCTTTAAAGATTCACTAAAGTTCACTAACTAATATTTGTTGTGATTGCATGAAGGAAATAGGTTTGCTGGGACAGGAGCTGAAACTGCTAAAGCAGCTAGCTGTGAGCGTTTCCAGGCTGCTACAGTAAGTCTGCATGTACTTAACTTCCTCATACTGTGAATAACAAGTATTTAATCTACAGATACATACAGATCAGCTAATACAGCAGTGATTTAGAGAACTGACCACCACGGTGAAGATTTTCCAATCTGACTCATCGTCTTTACTGCCAAATACAAAGGGCTCTGATTGGCTCAGATTCATCTCCAACCACGGGAACAGCCATTCCTGAAGAACAACTCCAGCACTGTGTCCAACATCACTCCCTCCTTCACTCATTCACTTCTCCCTTTGTAACGGACACTCAGTGATTCACTGTTTGATGAGTAATACATTTGAGATTTCAGGGGCTTGTGAGTCATCGTCATATTGCGTCATCACCGACAGGAGTAGACGCACGACTGTAAAATGTATATATGCTATAAAATGGACACGCTGCAGTGTAGTATTGCATTGTATTACACATGTTCTCTCAGCTTCAGATGGAGAAATAAAGTTTGTTTTTGAAAATAGAAAATCTAAATCAGTTGTTTTGATGATGCCAGAGTGCTGCAAAGCCAGTCGAGAGCCTGAGTCAACTACTGACTCAATCTACAGAGGCCTGGCCACCAGCTGGAGGAGTGTGTTGTGTTGTGCTGCTGCAAAATCAGAGCCGTCCTCTGCTTCTCCGCTCGAAAAACAACACATCACATGATCAGACAGAGACAGAGAGATGGAGGATGGAGAGAGATGATAGAGAAGGAGAGTGTGTGTGTGTGTGTGTGTGTGTGTGTGTGTGTGTGTCCTTTGTACAAAAAAAGTCTACTGACTGCGAAAATTTTTTAAATGGAAAATGGTAGATTTTAACCCCGTGGAGTCCGTCTGCAGCCACAGTTTTATTTACAGTTACATAACTTTATGTATCATGTAGAGACAAGCTGAGGGAAACAGTTGGAAGTGCTGATGTGGGACTTTCACACACGATCGCACAGAGTCTGAATTGTTATTATTTCCCACGATTGGCATAATTTATCATTTTAAGTGAAAAAGGCACAAAAATAAATGTATTATAGTTTCATATCTCACATATTTCTGCTACATTAGAGTGTATAAACAGTAAAACCATAGTTTGTCCGACTTTGAGCTTTTCTATAGTAATATTTGATGCAATGCATGTGGGCCAGGGATGCATTAAAAGGTAACGCAAAGACAGGGATGAATTCATAAAACAAATCATCAAAATAGACTCCAGAGGGTTAATTAACTGTAGGATAAGACACTTCCTTGTATATACTTCATCACTTACAGGTGTTTGGGAATTTTGTTTACGTGCAGGATGTACTTGCTGCTGCTTTAAAGCAAAATTTGAACCAATAATAATCGTAGAATCATGATTTTACCTATAAAAATCATTCAAATTGATCGTAATGGAAGGAATAAAAAATCCCTTCCAACATCTATGTGTTTATAAGTAAAGCCAAAGGGGGAATGAACACCCACAGAGGGGAGGAAGCGAACAAGTAGATCATCTTTGTGACAAGGAAACTGGTTATGGGGAACTAACCGCAACAGCGCCAGAGATATGATAAAGTACTTCCTGTTACATCTGCCTGTCAGAGCGCTCACCTGTTGACTTGTTAGAGGCTCTTCGTCTGATTTCCGTCACCATGAGTCGTGAGACCTGGGTGGTGAACTGCAGCAGGTCGGAGAACTTCTCCGTCATGGTGCTGGGTGGAGCATTCCCAAAGACCTGAAGCAAAACAGATTAGTTGTAGTTTAATCAGGGGAAAAATTATTTATTATATTATTATTTATTATTATTTCTTTAATAGAAAGAACATGTAATAAATTGGTCATTATTTGCTATTAAAGCCTCATAATTGCAGCTGTAATCAGGCACGAGCAGGACTCATCAGGGAACACAGCCACAGCGCAGACTGCAGCCGGTCAAAGATATACTGCACTTCATTCAACGACGGCTCATCATGTATTTATTTATCCAGCAGATCTGACATGAAAGACGGCCTGGAGCCCGGAGCCCTGCGCCTGGAGCCCGGAGCCCCGCTGCACCGGGAGTACTCTTTACTTTTGAATTCTGACATGAATTATGCCACCAGTGAGTGAATCACAGCCAGCGCGGGGGTAATTAGCTGACAAGTCAAGAGACCCTCGGTAAGGCACTCCAGTGTGACGAGAACACTCAACAGGCCTGCCTGCTGCAACGGCCGTGAAAAAACCGAGAGGCAAACTGCTCCGTCGGTGTAATAGAAGAGAAAGACTGTAAATATTACAACCGTTTCACTGGCTCCTGTGTTCTCTGCTTCGTCGAGTAAACACACACACACACACACACACACACACGCACGCACGCAGACGTTTCACATCGATCTGTGGCTCTTCCGACTTCCCATTCGACCTCCCTGCAAAGCATTTCGTATACTCTACTACAGCCCTTTAATCAATTTGTCAAATCAAATCAAAGTTGTCAATTGTCCAATTTGCACATGTTTGTGGTCGTCATTAGTGCTGGAATGATTCATCTATAAATAAATTTGTCAATCAATAGAAAGTTCATTAGGAAAAACATTGATAAATTACTTAAATGATGAATTGGTTTTCAAATAAAAATGACAAATATTCACAGCTGCTTTTCTCTGTTTTTAATTATTAAACGCTTTTTAGAATAAATGGTTTCTCAGTTAAACAAAAAGGATTAAATCAGTATGAAACTCTAGATTCAAACTGTATGTCTGAGATTTTTAAGGTGTCTGGATCTGGTTTATCATCTGTAAATGCAACTAATTACTTTTATTTTACATTTACTTTCAGTGTATGCAAGTTATATATATCATCCTTTCTTTGTATTGCTTATGGTTTCTATTTCACTAAATTGCTTATCTAAGTTAATGTAGCATATAAATTGTCAGTTACCAACAGTGAAGATTATTTCCTCATATATCTCTGATTTCAGTTCTTTTTTTTTGTGTTGCAGCTTGTGGCTTTTCGATTTAACACAGTGTTGACAGGGTGTGGGAAGTTCACCACCTTTGCATGACTTCACACTGCTATGCACCTGTCCGCCAGGTGTGCGTTACACAATAGTCACTTTGTCACCGGCGTTTTTGGAGATCTGTACTTTGGGGACCAGGTGTGTCATCAGGGAGCTCAAGCTTTAATACAGTGTCAGTGCTAGAGGTAATGATAAAGTATGTTTCAATATACTGCAGTCTGATCATTTACATGGTAAATACAGTAGAAACATGTATGTCACTGCGCTCAATTTAGCTGAACAGCAATAATTCAACATACCCGGACAAGTCAACCAGCTGATTTCCATCAGATTTAACTGCAGCCTGTTGAAATAGCATCTGTGAGGTGTGTATGCAGGTGTGTGTGGAAATAACCTGTTAACCACAGGATCTGAATCGCAAATACTCCCCCGGTTACATGCTCTTTTATTGAGCTCACGTCAATCCATCCATAGTAGAGTGATGGAGTGATAGAGGAGTGATGTAAGAGGTCCTGTGTGTCAGCTGACGGAGCACCAGCAGTGAGCAGGTTTGAACGCCGGCGTCATACATCACAGAACCAAAGTGAATGCTTTTAAACTGAGCTGTCAACTCGGGAGTTCTTATGTGAACTGATGTCTGTTCCGAGACGTTCGTCTGCTCGTGCGCTTGCTGTTTGGACCGCCGCCAACCCTCACCCTCCGCCCCTGCTGTGACTTACCCTGTTAAATACAGGAAGCATCATGTAGAGCTTCTCCTCCTGCTCCTTCTGGGTCATGTGGCGAGGAGGGTGGCACAGCTCGGCGAACAGGCGCCGCAGGTGCATCAGGCCCAGCGCGTTGTCCTGGGGGCTGCACTCCTCCTGCCTCGGCCGCCCCATGATCCTCTTCACCATGTTCATCTTGAGCGGCTTTGTCAGGGCAAAGGCAGCCCTGTGGAAGGAGGAGGGGAGGTTAATTACATGTCTTATAACAGTTTAACACTGGGCTGGGTATCACTTAATAACATTTCTTTGTTACCAACTAAACTGTGTCGGCTGGTTGGCCCTGCACACTTGATTAAACTCATCCTCTTGTTTAGCTGTTTCCTCTCTTTGCACTGTCCACTTCGCTGCTGTAATACTGCAGGTTTCTCCTCTGTGGGACTTATAAAGGAATATCTTATCTGATCTTTAATCAGAGTCTCTGATTGAAATCAAAACTTTTTTAGTTGGTTGTTTGTCTTTTCGTTTTTCTCGTTCTAGTATCTCTACTGAAATTTAGGCATCATATCACAAACCGTAATAACAATATAAACATGTAGCGAGTTGCTGCAAAACATAAAAATGTCCTCTGGGTGACATAACTTGACTTCTGCAAACTTTATTAAAAGGTCCTCAGCTGGTTGAATTTCTAAACACTAAACCCTTTCGTGCTGTTTTTTTTTGATCGATCGGTCTGGTTAACTCTAACTGTCGCCCCGGCAACTGCACAAAAGCTCAGGACTCGGGAGTTGGTATCAAACATTAAGAGATTAGTGAGAGTAGTGACAGGTGGCATCACTGGGCCAGATGTGTGGTTTAGTTTCCTTGTTTTCTAACAACAGTCTTTTGACATGCTTAGCTGAATGTAAAAAAAAAAAAAGACTATTATATATTTGTCAAACTAGTAAACTGGAAAAGGCAGCACATTAGGTTCAGTGTAGAAACTCAGCTGTCATTTAAAATAATACTGAGCCATGATATTTCAAACTGTACTTGACACATGATGAAACTGCCGTTTTTGTTTTTGTTGGTGAAGTAACTTTCTGCCTCATTGGCAAAGCTAATGAAAATACAGCCGGGAGCACAAACTGTCCCGAATTCAGGTGACTGTGTTTCTTTATCCAATTTACTTTGAGCGGTATTCATTTGACATTTCTCTTCCTTTACAGCACGGCTGATATTTCCACACATCCAGTCCTCTCCAGACTATCTTCAAGACGGTTGCTAGGAGACTTCACCGAACAGCAAAGCCCACACACACACAACACAGATAAACATCGGCTGATAAAAACAGAATCAGCAGATTGGAACGGCGTGACCAAGTCGCTCATCAATCTCAATACGAGCTTCAACCACGCTGCGCACTGCACCTTGCTCAAGGGAACGCCGACACTGGTGACTGAGGGAGGGAGAAGCATTTCTCATTTACTCTGCCCACATGATGGAGCATGAGCCTCTAGGGATGTGGGGGGGGGGAAAAATGACTTTGTTTTTCTGTATGAGACATGAAGAAACCTTTGAACCTCTTTCCTCAGCTCCGGTTTTCCTTTTTCCTTGCGTTTCTCGCTCGTACGCGATCAGTCTGTGATCTCGCTGCCGGTGTTTTCTGTTACACCTGTGATGACAGCACCATTACTCTGACCATGGGACTCTTTCACACTCTTCAGGTGGAGATTTACCAGCTGCAAACCTGTCCTACTTTTGAAATCATGTGGTATGTACTGTTTTGTACATAGTACATTTTCTCAAACAATGGGAGTTACTTCACCTCTGAGTCTTTGTGTATATATAGATATATATATATATATATCTATATATACACAAATGCCCTGGCTGAGGTTACATCATTGATCAACTTGTAGACCTGCATTGAGGTGAACGGCAGCTAAAAAGCACCGACAGTTCAGTTCCAGTTCTGCAGCTCCGTGGACGGTGAGCGGACGTGACAGTCCACCATGTAGTCCCTCCTTTCCCAGTGGAGGAAGCGCACGCCTCACAGTCCTGACTTTAGACACTGACAAAATAGTTCCTGCCCTTTAGTTTAAAAAAATAACAGCAAGGTTACAGACAAGCATGCCTTCATATTTACAGCTGGCCAAATAACAATCTCCCATCTCTTTACAGTCAATTTCCCCCATCCAATAAAAGGTGACACAAGCCTAAAATGATTATTTCGTAACTAAATACTGCAATGAACCAGGCAGGATGTCAAAATTAATACTGACTAATTTCCAAAATGCTGGTAAAATTGGTTTTTACTAGTACCTGGTTAGTCACTACAGGACAGTTGTGATACAGGAACATTATTACTTTCTGTGTAGTGCATAGTTTATGAATACCACCAACCTTTGTCCCTGGGGCCGGTGCACAGTTCACTACCTGTTGAGCTGCTCTACGCATCGCAGCCAGGTACTGAATACTGATATACTGATGCTAGAAAAAGGTACCACAATACCCTGCTGTGAAGACCAGTATCAAACCCCATTTTACTAGTATCAATACTTCAGATAATGATTAACTGTAAGTCTTGCACTTCATGCTGATGAAGCAAACCCAGCCTGCTCACTACAGTAGTGCACTAAAGTGGGATCACCACAAATAACTCAGTGCACCTCCTTGTCTGTTCTACTGAGCATTTTCTAGTTTTCTATTAAAATCAAATTAGATTTAAAAATGATAATTAATGAGAACAGGCTCGTGGTATTGTTTCAGCATTTAAGCAGTTATAGTATTGTTTAATTAGTCTTAAAAGTTCTGAAAACTAAATAACTTGAATGAATGTATATTACAGGTAATTTCTCATAAACTGTCCTATTTGGTATCAGACACAGATCGTTGGAGAAGCTACTTCCGGTTTCCAAGTTTTTCCGAGCGAACGTCTGTGCTCCACGTTCCCCGACACCTGCCAGTCAAACAGCTGAGTCTTAACGCCTTGCTCAGCAGCACCTGAGAAGTCGCTGCTGAGGACTAGGAAAGTATTTCTCATTCCCTCCGCGCAGCGACTTATGTGAAGTCTAAACAAATCTGGATTCAAACCAGCCACCCTCAGGGCAAGAGCCCCTCTGAGCCGGCTAATTCACTCTTGGCAAGCTCCTCCATCTGTTGGCTGTGTATAAATTTGATTCTGTTGTTGTGATATCACAATTGCTGGCACTTTGGAGATGCTGGGGTATTGTTAAAGTCGTCTGTAAACTTGCCTGCGTGCCAAAAACAGAAGATTTCGAATAATGCGACTGAGGAAGCCACTCCTTGCCGGCGGCTGTGTTCGTTCCCCGCTCCTCGGTTTCTATTCTTGTGCCTGCGTCATACACATTTTTATTGAATTGTTTTTTTGTTTTGTTTTTTGGTGTTGAATATAATTTGCAATTAATGTCAATCAATCAATCCATATGATTATTTATTTGTGATGGAGAACATGTTGAAAGTCAGTGGTTAGATCGGGAGAAATTTTCATTACCAAGAAGAAAGAAGCAAAATCCTGCTCCCAACAAGGAAATGCTCACTGATTTGATGACCTCATGACCTTTTCCTTAGCACCAGCAACACACAAAACTTCTCTCAGCTACACAGTTCGATGTTGACATTGACTGTACAGGCTAAGTGGGTAAATTATTAGGTGTTACCAGAGGTTTGTCCTCTATCGAGTGCTCTCTCATGTTCAAGGTCTGCTTTTCCCCCGACTGGCATCTCAACAACCCCACATCTCCTTTCCCTCCTCGTCCTTCTCATTCCTTTAAAGGACTGTCATAAAAGACGGCGAGAACGTGAAGAGCAACGTAATGGAGGAGACGGAAGAGCCGCACAGAAACTTCCAAGTGTAAATTGTGATTTACGGGAACGTGGCGTCGGCAGAGACTAACAGAATTACTCCAAGGCTTCAGTAATTCATTTTGCCCACACAGCCGGGGCTGCCCTCTGGGTGAACTCGCATTCAAACTGAAACTCCATTTAACATCCCTCATTTAGTACACTTACAGTACATCTAATTATGTGCAGTGTACTATCTAAAGTGCCTGACACTGCCCCTGAGTGCACACATATATATATTTTTTTTTTACCACGGATTGTCTCAAGGGGTTGAACACCTTCACATGGTCAGTGTTTGGCTTTGAACCAGAGACGTCTCTCGACACAGAGTACGCCAAGTTCGGACTCTCGTACTTTGGAGTTCACAAGTTCAACTCGAGACGTCCAGACTCCCGAGGACTGGAAGATTATTTGCAATTGAAACAGGCAAATAATCTAAAGTCAAATCTCCACAAACAGACAGAGAGTGTAGTAAAAATATATACGTTTAATATGAAGCCCACTGCCTGAGAGGTGGTGGTATATTTCTACACTGCTGTTGTTAAACTGTCCAATAAATCACGTACCAGCAGCAACAAATATTATATTTCGACTCAGATCAAATTTCATCTTCCAAAAGGAATTTTTATCATATATCAAAACACTACAGACAACATGGCCTCCAGCAAATTAACGATGGGCTGCAGAGATAACACTTTTTCTACCGGGACGATGGCGCACAACGACGGTCCTCACATCTCCGGAAAAACGCCCGAGCAAATATCCAAACGGTTCCTGGGCGACTGCGACTGAACGCAGAGAGAGAAAGAGCTCAGGACTCATTTTTATAAATATCAATCAACAGGAAACGATTTGAAACACAAAAATCGAAACGCAAGAAATCAAAGGAGATGACAAATGCTGCCGTAATCACGCTTTGAGTTACATAATTAGTTCTGGCACATCAGCGCTTTGGGCCTCTTGCCTCGGTTTGAAAGGAAATTTCACGAGAAAAATGGAGAAAACACAGGTGGGACGTCGGGTTTGTCTCAGGCACATTTTAGACGCATGACAGAGATCAAAAGAGACAAGACCTGAAAGGCTCAGGATTTGACATTTACAATACAGCCTGTGTTGGCAGCGACACACTCCGCAATTCAGCTCTTATTAACCACCAGCTCTGCCTGTCTGAGATAAGGCCAACAGTGTATATCCTCCCAAAACAACAACATTATAACCCCCGGCTCTCTGCAGGGACTGATAAAGTTTGTGCAACATGTGATGGGAGATTTCTGTTTTCAGTGACCGGCCTATAGATGCACCCGCTGCCACGTTTTTATTGCATTCTCACTCTTTATTGTACATTAAGTTGAATTTAACAGATTTCTAAAAAAGGGATAAATT